CATATCTTCTACTAGATCCAATACAGTTATCAAGGGAGATGATACAGGAAACGTCACATCATCAAGATCTGCTGTAGTCCCAGCACTATCAACATCCAATCAGATGTCGGAATCTTCTGGTACGCGCAGAATTCAGTACACCACATCATGTGTCTTCTCCAATGACAAGGACCTTCTGTTCTGCCCGTCGTAGGTTCCTTTGGGTTGACAGATGTAGGAAGCTCTTCGACGGAGAGCAGAGCACCAATAAGTTGAATAGTACAGTCCGAGCCAAATGCTACGCGACCGAGGGCAGTACCATTAAACGTCTTAATATTCGGAATGGGTCTGCAGACCGAACAACTCTCATTCATCGTATCGAGTTGATCAATTGATGACCACTGGCCAACGTGAAACAAGACCGATGTCTTGCTGTGGATATCAAATGGAACGGCGGGGAAGCAGGATTGCACGCTTGGCTGGCAGTCAGTGCTGGACATCGATTGGTCAGGCAGAAACTTTCGACAGTGCTACAGTACTTGCAGTTGTGATCATGAATCATGAACATGGTATCATATCTCACGTAGGGGTGACGAGCAGGGTGTAAGGCCAATTCACTCACGCGGCGGACACCCCAGGACCGTCGAATGCTGCAATGAATCGACTCTCATATACGATAGACTGCAATAGACTGCGATAAACTGCGATAGACTGCGATAGACTGCGATAGACTGCGATAGAATGCGATAAATTGCGATAGACTGAGACCGTTCTCTTTACCCACATGGCCCAGTCGCTACGCATGACAGTGCTGCGGACATCAGATAAGGCATTCGGTACACACAAAGGAGGAGCCTACGGGATTTGGACTCAGGCCGACCAAAACGGGAGCTTGAGCTGGTTTTAGCATCCAATCGACACGGCCCGAAGCCCGATACTCCTGCGAGCTCTCCATCGTTATTTCCTTGCTTCGGCAGAGACATCGATATACACCCAGTGATGCTGCAAACGTCCCATGGCTGATATTGACGCGGTATCAGATGTCTCAATAGAAGCCGGTCGGGCGAAGTGACCAATACAAGGAGCTTGGCCTGCTGCCAGTTAGAGAACGACAGCGAGATGGACCGAGCATCCTAGAGTGTGAAGCACACTCACAGTCGTTCGACCGTATGACCGATGTTTTGGCTCGTCTGGCAGCGGCTTACACCGCCAGGATGAGCAGGGGAGCTGCGCAGAGTGATCGCGATGAGATAGCGATATATCGAGGAGCCTATATATCGACTACCCTAGATCAGTTCCACTGGGGCGGACGTTCTCACGGAACTCAGACCTGTTCTGAGCAGGCAGGGATAGCAGGCAGGGACTTTAGTGGTCAGACGGAGATTCAGCCAATTGGCGCAGGCGATAGCATCGCTGCGACATATCGTGAGCGGTGGATCCCGCTTTCCGTGGAGAATGCATTGTCGATGATCCCTCGAGCTGTCTGCCCGTTCTTGAGAGCCGATTGCCAGCTCCGAATAGCGAGAGGAAGTGGTCACTGTCGTTGAAAAAGCATGATGCGGGGTTCTGTAGATCGCCTTGTCGGAGGTTCAGGAGGGGCAGAGATACAGTAGGAGGAGGATTGAAACACAGTCGGACTTTGGAGGAGGCTCGGAGCTGAATTTGGAGTAGTTGGCGCCAGGTACGAGACCACTTCGTCGGCTCACAGGAGGACATCTTGACTCACCGGCAGCATCTCTACGCTTCATCGATTAGGGGCAAATCGTTCATCTCATTGAGCCTCCCGACATCACAAATAGGATTCAACCTGAACCGAAGGCGGTTAGCAGGCTGACCGACTGCTACTGTAGCGACTTGCAAATGGTCCAATCGTGAAGTCTAAATGCTCCTGCAGAGGCAATCAGAATCTCTCGGTCTGGGCAATTCACCATAACCATAACGTCGATTGAGCAGCGCGAGTACTGCTGTCACTATTGCAAGACAGGGCTTTGCAATCTGCTAGCTGACATGGACCCTTCAGTGGGGTTGCGTATTGGAAAGTGCCGCGAACACTCACCAAAGTTATAGATCATCAACGCGATCATATTTCTTGCCCCTTCCACAGAGCTTCGTCATCCGAGCGATCTCATAGCTCCCGGTCAATCTAATAGGTACGCACTTACAGATCATCCGAGTCTACTCCTCCCCATGCTCTTCATCACATTCATATTGCATGAGAGCTTGCTGTTTGCCCGTCTGAGAGACTACTACTTCCACCCTCTTCATCTTTGTCGTTTGATCTTACATTCCCTGAGGTAGAAAAACTGACCGTCTGCGAGAGGACTACCTTCTTCCATTCTCTCCTTCGAGCGTTGAGAGTATCTTGCCAGATTGCAGAGATTAGCACGTCGTCGGAGCTGCTTCATCGCCGGTCATAGTCATTCTCGACCGGAGTTCGTTTACAACTTGACCGCATGTTTTTGTCAAGCCGATCCTGACCAGAATCTCGAGTGTACATCCCGAGAAAGAGAGTGTCTCGAGAGGAGAGAGTCGGCGTTATCACCCGCGGCCGACCCTGCATCTGTACCTGTAGTAAGGCTGATGATTGTTAGTCAAGGTGTGATGGTTGGCGGTGGACAGCTGGACGGACGAATGAATGGTGGATGAATGGATAGACCACATAGAAGAATATTCATATTGCTTTTACAAAATCATCCTGCCCCTCTTCGTCCGATCGATGCAGAGTCGTCTGTTTGGGTCATGAGAGTGTATGAATCTTCCCCTGGGTGGGAGGGGAGACAATAAATAGATGTATCTAGAAGACCGCCGTACCAGGGGCGTTCCCGCGTACCAAGAGGGGTCCGCAGACTTCCTAACGGCTGGCCCATCCAGGCCACTAACCGAAACTCCAATCTTACCAGGTGTGAGTGGGGGAGAAACGCTGCTTGGCGGCTCTGTATGGCTCCGAGGGGCTGGATAGTGATGGTCGAGGCTCAAAGGTAAACCATCGCCCTCAACGGAGCACAAGATCACTGCTCTTGTTGTCACGTCAACCAGCAACCTGCACTCCATTCACACCGGACGGCTTCATGCCACAGGAAGCAACCCTCTTGACCTCACACGCCATTCTCTTTCTACTTTCACTCCTGTACGACACGATGAACAGGTGTTCTAGCCGATTGCAGACACAGCCGCTGGGTGACCATTCATCCCTAAGATCAACATCCCCTTCCGAGGGTCTACTCGCAGAGTAGATCTGCGGTCACCTCTAGGATACGTCGTAGTAGACCTGGACCTCCCTCTGAGCCATTCAGAGAGCGGCTCACTGGTCGGCGTGAAGGAAAGCAATTCCACGACTTCCTCCAAATGGGTCATCGACATCCGTACGGCCTCAAGTGCCCAACAGAGTCGTCAAGTCGGCACAAGAAGTCTCACACCGCTCAAATTCTCGGCCCAAGTCTCCGACGACGAGATACTCGCCCTCAGACGGAGTTGAAGAACGCTTATAGAAAAACTCTCTCTCGAGGCCGTTTCTCTGCGACTGGTCAGAGATCGTATCAATCTCCAGAGCATGTCAGAGGAGCGGTCGTCAGCAGGGAAGAGTACGAGAGCGCGAGGACCGTCTTCGGTTGTAACGCTCTCCAGTCAGCAACTCTACAGTGAATCACGACATGGATTTCGAGTTCCCGTAGGAGGATCAATTTGTACGCCTTGGTCCCGGACCGTGATGTCACTGACGATCCTACCAGGTTAAAGTAGAGTTGGAGCATAGTCAGGGTCTTAACGTCCCTACGCTTTCACAGCCGCGCGAGCTAGGAGTGAAGGGCAGAAATAGGTATTCTAGCATCTTTAGATGCGAATGTGGGCCGTCACTACTTCCGTATCGCGACAGTTCACGTGACGAATTGAGTCAACTGTCCCGGACAAGTGTGGCACTTTTCCTTCACCACTCGTGATTACCCTGTAACAATGCATGTCAGCCCTATCTCGAATGCTGATCGATGCAGCTGAACAGAAGTAATACCCGAGTCCTTTACTACCATCTTCCTGACATCAACTCACTAAATATGGCATTCCATGCTTAGACCTCCCGACAAAACTTGCTTTGCGTTCCGCCGAATTTCGTCATTACTTAGAATCATCGGATTCAACTCAACGTCCAGTTCCACACTCTGTCTCAGATCAACTGTATCATACATCTACGACCCTGCAGGGGCCTACTCTCCAAGACTGAAGTCAATCCGCTCCAGATACACCTCTCGGTGAAGCGGACAACTTACATTTTCACAGGCGGCGGAGATGATGGCAAGTTTTTGTGGATGCCTGATGTATAGACATGGGGCTTTCAAGGGCCCAAAGTATGCTCAGAGCTCTCTTAGACTCGGGTATTACCTTGACTTGTGTCGCTCCGCCCCGACAGTGGTCAGCAATGACGTGACGTTGTGTAGTGTATATTCTGGACCGCCACATTTGGCCAACGCGTTTCTTGTCCTATCATTTTCATCTCTCTCTCAGGGAAAGCAGTGGGCTCCGCATCGGGGAGCTCCACACGCACCGTCTCGCTTGGGTACCACGTACTTGCATGACCATGATCCGGTCTACAAATGGTTTATGATCTATGTGGCTTTGCCGCGAGGTCGCCGGCCACTGGTCAACCGGGTAATCCGGGCATTTCCCCGGTAGCAAGTCTACATGCCACGCTCGGCGTTTTGATCGGCCTTTTGATCAAAATGCCGTGGCACCCGTATTTTCCCATGGCGGCGAGACTTCACCCTCTCATCTTTGAGGATTGTTATTTGTTAAAGGGTTGTTGACGGTACGATCCGAAGGGAACGATGTCTAGCTTCGATGAGTGATCTATCCTCCAGAGCGAGACGCCGGATCACGAATCAACTTCTTACATATCGGTAGTTTCAAACATGAAAGGACGGATACACCGTCGAATGTTTGGGTCAGCTACGGAAGTATAATCATTCAACTCGACACGATCACGTCGCGCGCTGATACTTTCCTTTCACACCTCAATCATGTTCATGTTCACCATGGACACGACATCGTGGTTAACGGTCTTCATCCTTCTGGCATCTACCATTGCATATCTCCTCTACGATCTGCTCTTCCCTCGCCTATCGGAAGTCCTACTCAACTACAAGCTACCACCAATTGATCGCTTCTCTCTCCCACCCTTATCGTCCAACCGAAAACCCACCGTTCCATTCTCAATCAAGCAGAATGCCAGACATAGGGAGACTCTGGTACGCATCTTGAGACAGAGAGGAATGCTCAACAAGCGATTGCGACCATGGGGTAGCGATGTCCGATTTCTCTTCGACGAGGCCAGGATCGGCGTGAACAGTTTACCACAACACGGACTGGGTGAAGCAAACTTACGCAGCGACATTCTGAACCGGGCCATATTTAATCCTTGTTTCAGTCTCGTTCGAATGAGACCGGCATCCGATCCGATGCGTACGAGAATGTGGTACGAAATTGCCCGGGGGAGCTCTGGACGCCCAGATACCAAAATATCATATGAAGGGGTTGACGGAGTGGCGGTCGAAGTCAAGTGCGATACTGGCACGCTATGTCTCATCACTCGCATCTACAACGCCATAGGACGGCTAGGCATTGACCTGAGGAATTGTACACATCTTGATGGCAGTCAGAAACACGCAGATATCCTCAAACAGGCGAGTCAAGGATACACCAAAGCAACGATACTGACTCTCACACAGACAGTCATAAACATGATCACAAGCAAATCATCTGTTGGCGTCCTGACGACCTATCGAGCCACTCTCATCCTCATCAAGACTGGAGATGATCACATCGAGGTCCTCCCTCCCGTCTATGCTGACAATGAAAGGCGTCATGTCCGTACAGATGATGCGGACCGATTGGTGGACACGACTTTTGGATGTTTTTATGCCTTGACGCTGGGACTTCGGTCGGACTTCGTCAACGACAATGGCCCAGATGACGATGATGATTCGGACGATAATCATCAGCCCCGTCGGAGACATGCCTTGTCGCGAGAGCCTCGGATACCACCTCCCGTTCAGAGGGAAAGGGAAAGATCTCCCTCAGGCTCGGAGGATGGTAGGGATGAAGACGATCAATCAAGTGAAGAAGATGGCCCTGCACTCGATTTAGATTCTGTGTCACGTACTGCAGGACCCCGCGATGGCTTTTCAGATCAGCCTGGCGGAACTCATACCAGGCATCGGATCGCATCTCGCCCTGCTCCAGTTCAAGTTGTCACACGAGCTATAGCTGGCGACCTACCTTCTCCTGTGCCTCGACTGGACATCAGCAAGGTGAGTCTCCTCCGTGCCAGGGATCGCATATTGATCCTCGCTTCCTACAGCTCAACCTTCACCAGTCACTTTCGGTACACCTCCCTCTGGAGCTCATCCTCCGTAACATTCCGAGTGAATCCTTTTCCCTCTATCGACTGGACAAGTGCTTCGACTGGAGTCTCGCCCCAGAGCTCACACCTCCTTCAACTCCTTCTCTTAGGCCTCGCAAGCTTGCTCACGTTCCTTCGCCTGAAAGTGACAATGGTCTCCCGATCACAGAACCCACGACGCAAGCCGCAGACTCTGACTTGGCTGCTCGAGATCGGTCATTGCTGTGTACTTCTTTTGCCGGACATGGTGCAATGTGGGACGCGTTTCGAGCTATTCTCGATCAGTCGCAAAGCGCAGTAATCAAGCTCTGTACCCCGAAACTGTCTCCGGATGATGAAGTGGAAGACATCCGCCGACAGATCATGATTGATGCTCAGTGCTTGACCGCTCTGAGCAACGGCTCGGGTCCACAGATTGCGCCGGCCTTCTGTGGTTTATTCGGCAACATTGTTGCTGATGTCGAAATATGGTGTTGTCTTTCAGAAGACGGCGGCGATAGCGTGTTGACGAGATGGAAGGGGTCCTCGCTGAACGAACGGAAGAGAATAAAGTGGGTCCGGCGAATTCCTTCCACTAAGTACACTGATGACATGCCCTGAATCAGGCAAAACATTCTCAGCCGGTACGATGCTTTGCACAACCACTTCAAAATAGTACATGGTGATCCCCATCCCCGCAACTGGCTCCTCGATACGACTGGCGAGGTCCGATTGGTGGACTTTGGTCGAGCTTGTTTGCATGCGCAGACCATCAAAGCGCACGGTGGTCAGGTGTCTACCTCTCATGCTGATCTGAATTGGGACGAAATGGTCAGAAGCGAATGCGAAGAGGTCGTTGACATCCTTCGTCAACTGTCATGAGATGTCCGATCCCGGGCTCGACATGTGTTTGTGTACCGCGGTTCACAGCCAGCCAATCCGTTTGACGATCCTCTCCTCCGAATGCACCTCTGTTCACGCTTTCACTCGATCCCTTTCTATACGGATAGAACAAATACTCCTTAATGACGACCTCTTTGCAATGACCTTACGAGCCTCTAATTCCTTTTCGAGAACGCTGGAGCTGGATCGATGACACAACAATTCGGAGAGAGTAGAGGAGCGCCCGTGATTCATGGAGGCAAGGCTGGGGATGATCCTTCCTCGCCGCATGTCTTCATGCAAATTCCGAGCTCGATTGATCTATCTACCTCAGTCGATTCATCACACAGACTATGTATCATGTAATGATCTCATTTTCAAGACTGGAAATACTTGTGATGGCCTTTGTGCAGTGTGTCAATACCCGAACCATGGATTAGCTGCAACTCGAAGCACTCAGGCAATTTTGTGCTCTGTCAGAGCCTGTCACTTCAAACACACTCGGCGAATCCCTCAACTGGACATGCACATCGACCTGGTCTGACCAGTTGAGATTTCCATTGCAGGAACCTCACTTCCAGTCACATGTTCACTGCGAAAACCGTCTGATCTGTCACAGTTGGGGTGACTTCTGCTCCAAGATCAAGCCTAGATTGCGTTATCACCTCAGAGAGTCTCTCAACTGCATGCTCTGAGATTGAGGGCAATGGCCACCCCACCGGAGTCCCTGGAGGGTATCTCAAGTGTATAACGCAGGGGGTTCCCAACCTGGTTCCATTCTGGTCCGTCTGCCCTGGAGAAGCAGTGGTAGGCAGTCACCATGACTATCTCGTTATAATCAGAGTGTATAAAAGCTACGTCCTCCCCAGGAGGTGTTGGTCATACGGAAAATGAGAGCGTTATCTCCTTCGATTCTTCAGACCTCCACGGCTACATTAGATATCTTCATAATGGAGAGACTTCGTGCAGCCAGCCGTCTTAGCTAACTATGACAAGGCCGCGAGGTAATCTATCTAGCGGTATACGTTGCGATGGTTCGGTGCCATCTCGCCTTAGGACTTGGTACGTCGATCAACATTGTCTATGGGGATTCGCTCTCGACCGAATCCAACGACGGCATATGTCGACAATGTTCTCTCTCCTCATCGAAGACTGATCACTCCGTCCTGATCCAAGTTCCATGAGAATGACTGTCCTGCGGGGCTCTAAAGTGAAAAGGATGAAGCATCTCCTACGATAGTGCGTAAGTAAGCGAAGGGGGTCATGGGAATAGAACGACTAACAGATCATGTGATTCTCAAGACGGGTATCAGGCTTGAGACCATCGGCCAACTTGACCTTCAAAGATCATTGCTTTCGTACACAATATCAGTGAACCCCGTCTTGCCTGATGGTGTTTCTCGGTACTCGCCATCTTCCCCGCACTTCGCGAGAGATCTATCGCTGACCAGACCGCGCCACGTACCAATGATCTGGTGAGTGACCATTCGTAGGCCTCCCAGCAGTCAAAACTATCTAAACCATGCCATGCTACAGGGCTCAATCATTGTACCTGCTCTGCTCCATCCCAGGATAGATGGAAAGCTTGAGGTCACTTCTCGAGGATGAAGTCTGGCCTTGACAGCTGATGATGAATGGGAGAGACTTATAAATACATATGTCATACATCAGATACCTATGATCAGCCCCATCACTCCAGAACTTGCTCATGATACGCCGGTCATCAGGTTTAGGCCCTGGATTCCTTCATTGCCCAATCTTGTATTTGGATTCGTCCTCGATCAAATTGTGCGTGGTCTTCCAAGTTCTCAAAGCTTTCTTCCACAAAGTGAGCTAGGCTTGCGAGTCCAGACCTCATTTTCAGCCTGATGAGAGAACGCGACGTCTATGCCCAAGTCTCCGCCAGGACTGTTCGTGACAAGTCGGAAAAAGGTATTGAGGTTCAAGGCTTGAAGTCGGCTGAACTTCAGGATGACGTTCCGTGCGAGGTCGCGTGTAGTCGTTGATGGTCAACCGGATGGAGCGGGGAAAGTCTCCCTCTTCGTTCACGGCATCTCCCAAGCCTTAGTCCATAGATCGCGTACTCATGACCAAGAGATGTAAAGCGTGACGTGGCGGCGACGAGTGAGAGCGAAATCCGGATGCAGTCATGCAGCCCGGATGCGATCGTATCATCAAAAGCCCTAACGTGTTCATTTGCCTAGCGCTACGCTGCAGCATACCGGCACACAGCTCGGAGTTATCGGTAGATTCGAATCCTGTGCTATACATGCAGATGTCACGGAGTAAGGTTGTTGAACGGAGGCAAGGAAGGTATCTAGTGTCGAGAGCCCAGAGAGAGCAGTCCAGCGAGCTAAGGTCAATCCAAAGGCTGCTTGCGGCGAATGAAGGCGGGCAAAGGTAATTGGAGGCGGCTTAAGACGATGATCGAAATCAGATGCAAAACCTTAGTAGCATTGAGCTGATTCACCTGAGGCTATCTGCCGCCGCTGAATGTACATACACATCGCCGAGCCTTACCTCTCCAGTCCATACTTCGCGCCAACGTCCTGCTCGTCACCAATGTTCTCGGTGATTCTCGCCGAGCATTAACGAGATAGTAAAGTGAAGGCGAAATACGAGCTTTGTGAGGCTATAGAGATATCGGTGTTTGGGACTTATCGACCGTGTGGCGTTTTGTATGACATACTTTTACCGGCAATATTCGGCGGTCGTCGCCCATCGTTTTTGGTCCATACTGGAGTTCTACCGGAATTCTCAGTCTGCAGACCTTCTAAGACTTTGGGACTTGGCAAGGTACTTGGCATACCGTAGCAGTCGCTATTCACCAAGTTTCAGCTCTTACTAAGCTCTACATGCATGCAAAAGAGGGTGATGAAGTTTTGTGTGATCGACTTTTGAGTGAATTCAAGCAGATTAGGAACAGCAGGTGTAATCCGTCTAGAGTTGATTGCAAAACAAATCTTTTCCTCGCGTTCTACTCGCGTTTTATTAGACATTTATTTCTAATTCTATCTTTGTGTTTTGACTGAATTCCGTAAGTAGGCAGATTGGCTCAAAATGTCAAAATCAGGACCACCCTCATTTGCATGCATATATTTAAGCCTAAGCTCTGAAACTCGATAGCTTACGCCATAGCTGTTCATGTACTCTGCTGTGTATGAAGCTCTGAGGCCGCTTGGCAGAGGAACGTTTTGGGATGCAAAAAGCGCCGGCAAGAATTGTTCAAAACGACGGGCGGCCAACCGCCGATATCGGCAGAATAAGCACGTCATAGTTTTGAGACTCTCGGCTACCCGGCGTCAAGGCTGTTAAATTCTTTCCAACGGGCAGAATGGATGCACTACTGGATCATCGTACTGCGTAACAACGTCTCCTGGACACATGACAAGATGTGATACACCCCCATTTGTGAAGGGATGTGGCTCGAGAATGACCCCTGATGCATGGTGTGCAGCGCTACGCGTAGGATACGAGAATGAGGGGACGGAGGAGACGCTTCTAAGTCCAGAAAGGATGCTCTAGCACTTGGGAAACCAAAAGACACGTCATGGGGTCGACTTGCAACAAGACGGGGCAGAATACGCCGCTCATCACGCTGAAGATGACCTTCTGACAGAGAGTGCTACGTTCCAAGGGCTAACCAGAGAGGTCGAATCGGATCAGAGCATTTCCGTAGTACAGGATGCAACACTCTCCTCGTGAAGCCGTTCTCCGTCGTGTCTCTTCCCTCCCTTTGGATGACTGGTCTCTGTCAGGCTGGCGGAGCGGAAGCTTCGTATGAAACACGTGACAGCTCGGAAATGGCATCTTGGAAACTCTGGCTGACATTTTGCATCTCAACCCTGACAATGTCGCAAACCAAGCGACAAGCGAACCCGCCCAAGACGAGCGTGCAGAGAGTGGAGAGACCACTCCTCCTGCTGAGGTATGGTCCTTCATTCAACAGAATCCTGGCGATAGTATTGACGTCTCCGTCAGACTGAAGGGATGTGGATGCGAGCAATGTCAGCACTTGGAGACTTTCCAAGAGAGACTGACATCCCGCGACAAATCATTTGGTGGGTTGACTGCATCACAATATAAGAGACCGGATCATCACTCAGCTTCATCGCCTTGCCGTTTAGATGTGGTCCGAAACCCAGTCTCTCACCCCGATGTGGACGGTCGCGAACTGTGGCCGCAGGTTCGAAACTTGACTGGAAATGACAGTGAGCCGATCTCAAAGATGACAATGAGCGAACATGCCGGAAGCTGACGCATAGGCAGGTCGAATTATACTGCTGACATGGGGATACTCTGGTACTGGCAAATCGACGCTCATCCGATCCCTCCTATCATACGCGAAAGACGAATCGAGCGCCCCAGTGCATATCGTGGAGATTTTGGGCTCCAAGATTTATGATTTGGTCAAAGCGATGCGTCTGCGGGGGTCTCAGCGTTGGAAGCCTAGTCAGGTCACTGAGAAGAAGAAGGAGCAATGCGTCGTCGAGAATGATTCATTTGCTGAGACTGTACCGCCGGGCCGTATCACTGAAGACTTCATGAAGCAGATTGAGGGTGTTCGTGAAGTCGCGTCAACTATGAACAACCAGGCTAGCTCGCGATCTTGTCTCCTGATCTTTATCGTAAGTCGAGTTGTTCACTCCGGCCGGTAAGATGCCTCTGACATCTGTCATCTACAGGGCTCAAACATCGTCTTGGGAGGTGCGGACGCCCTGACAAACGGCAATGCTCATGCTCTAGATCTCCCTGGAACAGAGCGAAGTGAGGAGGTCACTGATCTGAAGGATCCAAGGAGCGGGCGTGTTTTACAGACTGAGTAGGTCTCAAAGCGCAACTTGGAGTTGCTGCTACCAAAGGCCGTAGCTTGTTCAATCTCAAGAACTATCTCTCCCTGTTGGCCAAAGGCAAACCTTGTCATGGCGAAGCTCGGGCGTCCAATTTGTAAGTCACTTTGATCAGCGATGTCGCTGAGCTCTCGCATAAGGAACCGAATTTTGACCGAGTCCATGCATAAAGAGCATCAACGGTCGGTCAAGCTCATTATCTATGTGACTGCTTCCATCCATCCAGATCACGAATTACAAAGCAAGCGGAGTATTGATTGGGCGCTGGAAATCCAGTCACTCCGAGCCATTCCGCATCGCACAGCAACGACGAAAGCAGTCGGGGTAAGTTCGCGCTTCCTTTACCTCGATAGTGAGGGGCTTATGAGCGCGTGATACTGTGTAGTTTGCCAGAATGGAACAGGCTCGACTCAGGCAGGAACAGAAAAGGGCTGCCAATCAGTCGCTTGACAAGCCTATTCGCGGGGCATCGGTCGGTTCTGAACCCTGCCGTGCGAGTGCGACTGCACGTGACATAGAAACCGAAAGGCGACTCAAGGAGCAGGTAGACGCAAACGCGTCTCACCTACGCCACACCGAGACCGAATTGATACAGGTCAAGCAGCAGCTTGGTCAGCAACAGGACCTTGTTCAAAGGCTGCAAATTGACAACGCGATGCACAACGAAGAGGAAGATCGATTGAGAGAAGAGGCCCGTCAGGCACTGGCACTACTAGAGCAACACCGTCGTTTGAACTCAGAAGAGCGCGTCAGAAAGGAGATTGAGATGGTGAACATTGTCACGAATGAGCGGTCAGCTAGGAGAGCTTGTGAGGAAGAGTTGAGCCAAGGTAAGTGCCTAGGTTGATCGAGACGTTCAGGGCCAGGCCCATGCTGAGGAGTGATTTGAAACGTAGCGAAAGAGTCGGTGGAGGCTCTAACGAGTCGGGTCCGTCAACTGCAAATCGAACAAAGAGAGCAAGAAGCTCGAAACGCCTTGCGTGATCAGGACAAGGCAGAGCTGGAGATTGCAAAATTGAAGCAAATGACGTTGAGCGGAGGAGATGTAAGTATGCGAGATCTCAATCAGTATGTGGAAACTGAAGCACAGCGTCCCCGTGAGCAGCACCCGTCCGACAATCTCATTCGACAAGCCATCAAGTATAGACGTGCATATCAAGATACCTGATACATGACCCACTAGAAGGGCTTGTGGCGGCGAATTTCTGCCCGATTCGGCAATTCTCTTCGCGACCATATACCACTTTCATTTTCGCTTTTCTCCTTTTCTTCCAATTTCGTTCTCCATACTATATATATATTCTAATGTTTGCTGCATCTTCCTCGACCTCTACTTCATCTGCCTCAGACTCGCGTCGATCTGAAAGCGTCCTTGAGGAGCTGAGACGGCTTGGCTGGACCTGGACGGTTGACAAGGACAAAGTCTCCAACTTCAAGTAAGCTGGCTGCAGCAGGCTCCAAATGGTAACTTACCTACGTCAGGCATCCCGACGTCCAGTGCACCCACAAGGGCGAGACCGTCTTTCAAGACGTGCCTGTGATACACTCTCTGGATCAAGGGGGCGGTATCTCGACCTCTTCCTGCTCTCGTCACTCCAAGTCAAAGACAGCTTGTGCATCCAGTCATCTTGATGTCAGATTGTTCCCGGATGCAGACGGCAGGTTGATCCGGCGACCCCTACAGGATAGTGATTTTCCGGATGGTAAATGGTCTAGAGATGCTAGTGGGAGGAGGAACAAAAAGGCTGCCCGCGAGTCTAAAAGGACACGGGGTCCAGAAGTGGAGAAAGCGGACCGCAAAAGGGTCAAGCTTGAAGCATCGCGAGGAATCGCAGGGAAGAGCCATGATTCGCATGAGGTCACTGATCGTGAGTCGGGCGAACATGTCTTGTTCCGCCTCACGATCGCTACTCCTCTTGACATCTGCCTCTCCCCCTCCCCTTACGCCGTACATCAACCTCGTGTGCCTACACCCGGCGAGCACCTGTCGAATTCGCTGACGTTTGATTACCCTTATCAGCTGCCGAGGATGGCTCAACTTCGCGATCAGCCCACGCTCGGACGATAATTCTTCCCAGATTGTCCGACGATCGAACAAGATTGGGCCCTTCGGATGACTCCTTCGGCAAGCCCGCCTCTCCATCCTCGATGGAATCCTCAAGACTGGCGTCTGACGTCGATGGTGATGCGCCACCTTCCTCCACGGTGCACAGACGACTCTCTCCCGCTGAAATCGCCTCATCCCTTCCGAGCTCAGCCATATCACGAGAGGTCTCAGCTACAAGAGAACGTTCTGTCAGTTCGGAGAAATCAAGTCATCATGCTCCAGGTCGACAGGAATTTGTAGCCTCACTCAGCATTCCGGATACCGTGAGTTTACCACAACTCATCGTTTCTTTGCGTGAAGCGAGCGATCGATCCGGTGTCATAACATCAGCTAAGACTGACTTTCCAGTCTACCGAGACTTCGGCCCCCCACTCGATCACACCGATAGCCGCGGCGTCCTCGTCAGCATCATCCATGAAGCGACCGGACGAGGACCCAGCTCCAGCTTCAGCTTCTGGTCCGCCGTCTCCGTCACCTGAGACACCTGCGAATGATGAGCCACCTCCTCAAGCAAGCAGCTCGAGGTTGATGGCCGAACGCAGTCCAGCGACATCACGTCCATCGCACTCGAGAGCTGTCAGCACGTCGCTCAACGAGGGGAGTACCAGCGACAAAGGGCCTGCCACCGGCAGTCTGCCCGAGGCTCCCGGTGTGTCGAATCATTCCACCGCTTCAGCAGATCTCAATCCGGAAAATCATGGTCTTTCCTCAGAACAGATCGAGAACAACTATCCCCCTGAGGAAGATCCATACTTGGAGCTGGAATGGTATAGGTTGAAGTTCCCAAAATTGATGAGGCGGCTTGATTGGCTGAGTCAAGAAGTCGTGCGGTTGAGAAGGCTCCAAGCGGAAAACCAATCATAGTCACCTCGGTCCTCGACGGTGTCATTGCGGACTCTCGTCGTTTCCCGGAAGAAGCTTAGCGCCTGCTCTCCTCCAGTCATCAATTTGGCTGGTAAAAGATCTCGGCTACCTGGCCGCTGGTCCATTCCCCTGCTTCGAACCGCATAGTCTCTCGTGTTACGTCGAGTCACCCCTGGGTAAGCGGACTCTGAGGAAGTCTCCGATTCACGACAGTCTCGTCACCCATCGCCGACAAACGCCTTGCTCTGGTTAGTCGAATACCAACTTGCAAGCCGTCGGAATAGGCTTTGGTCCTTCGGCACCTTGGCCGTGTCAGCAAATGGGTCGAAAACATCGTTGGTCACCTTGTTGTCCGCTGCACTTGGTCAAGTTCCGAGCTCGAATGAATCGTGAATGAGTCATGCATGATTATAAACATGGACGCCATCCACGCTTTGTCCCTTCCCCAGAGATCAACGATGTCTACCTGTACAAACTGCTCACAGCCTATATTTACAACTCTGTGTTGAAACCTCTAACTCTAACGTATCTTCAGTCACGACTGATCGATGACCGGTGTGAACCCGTGCCAGCTCTCCCTCCTCTGTAGGTCGTGCGATGCTGCACAGGTTTTTTCTTGTTCCTATAGGAGTCGTCCAGTCGATTCAAGTCGTTTCCAGAGTCCCTGTACTTCTTGAGTCCAGACTTGAGTATAGCTAGGATAGGTAAGGGGTCAGGGCTGCCATTTATGATTGCGACTCACATTCCACAAATCCGTTGACATCACAGGCCTCACTGTACACCTTGGCAATCGTAAGAGCTTGATTTCGACCTCTTGAATACTCCTCGTGCTCCCCAAGGAATCCTCGAAGCAAGTAAAGGAGCTGGAGGAGGGATTGTCAAATCCCACCTGAAGGCCGCTGTTTGGGTGCTCACGGCTTTGAGGAGTTCATCGATGCGCTCAGCTCCTGCTTCTTTTCGTTCTTTGTTACTCTTGCTTTCTTGAATGGAACGAGAAGCCAGCGTGCTCGAGGATGATGACCGACTGGCCGTTGAGGTAGAAGCCGAGCTTGATGCTGCGTGAGATGAAAGCTGGAATGACATCTATACAGAACGCTGTCAGCTTAGAATCCTACACACCACGTGGACTCACGCCCATGTCATCAAGTTCTAGATCTTCATCGATCTCGGCTTCTCAGTCGATGAAGTTCGCCTGAAGATGTGGGATGAATGGAGCGGTCTTGGTACCATTAGACTCACGGAAATGTTGCTTCTAAACGAGCTTGCCATCGATCTTCTTGAAGGTCGACGAGGTTTCTCCACAGATGTCGCTTCTCTTGTATCCGCTTCGTGGGCTTTTTCCGGGGTTTCTTGATAGCTTTCTTCCAAACTTTGCCTGTGAGAGTAGTGCCCCGTCGAACGTCGTTTGGACCGGACGATTTGATGAACAGATCCCTCGTCACCAGTCGCACGAATGCGCTTTCGAGAACGCTACGCAGACTCCGTCAGCGGTGGCACTCAGGGTGGAAAGAATGATTGGAGGAAGAGTGTCGTCCGATCTCCAAAGGCGGGGAGAAGAGCCGGTGTGGAAAACCTCCGGGTATCGCATTGGCGGCACGAGACGAACGGTCGATATCATCGCGGCAGAGGGAGCAGGACCATTCTTGATATGCTCACCGCCTGATCAACCTGTATCACAAAAAGCTCTGAGTATCTGTCCTTGAGCAGTTTCTCTCCGCTCTCCATCAGGTCCCTAACGATGTCCTCGGCAACGTCCCCCCTCAGACCTTCCTGCTGCAGCACGATCTGCCAAAGAATATCAGCTCACACTCATACACTAGCGACTCCAGACTGCTCATCGTGAATGATCAAGCAGCCATGGGACGAAAGACCTCAGGTGGTAGCTGACACTGACCTTGAATTCCGAATTCAACCCTGTCAATTTATCCTCATATTCCCTGAAGAGATTTTTGATAAGCGCCTTCGTTTTGAGGTCTGCATCGTCTGCCAAATAATCTGGGACTGAGTCGGTTGTCTGATCGGGATCGGTGTCCGTCGGTGGTGTGCCGGTGGGGCAGGGTGATGGTCGAGATTGGTGAAGGACCTGAATCGAGTCAGCGTTGAAATCGCAAACGCGACATAGCACCTGCGTATGGGAGGGGAGGAGTGACTCTCCTACAAAGGAGAGACTAGGAGGCGTCATGATGCTCACTGATATTCTGGCTGGCATTGTTTATCGAGGGTCGTCCTTGTGTTATACGTGTAGATGTTGAATGTTTAGATGTTGAATGTTTGGAGTACAATGTCAAAGGATACGGACCAAAATATGGTCCAAGATGCCTTTCCCGAGGAATGTTTTGTAATTCCGTGTCCGCCGTTTCCGAATATCCTCTGCTTATCACGTGATCATCTCGGAATCAGGTTTTTCAAAAAATTGCTTTCTTATCTTTCTTTGAACGGAACTGACATGGCTGTCATTGGCATTATGGGCAGTCCGATATGAACATCGCTGCGATGTTTTACGGGTACAATGAGGACTATTGTAGAGCTCTATACCCTCTATTGACGCCACGATACGATACTACTTGGGCCAAACTCTACCCTCGACTCGTATCGACATGCATCACCGCACTACCCCTTTTGTGCCGATTCACAGACTATACGGAACCCTCAGTGACCATTTCAGATGATTCAGCAATCTGTAAAGACTACGTACATATTCCTATGGACGTCTTGGCTGGATCCTATCACGTTGCATCTAATCCGCTGATCGCTGTCCTCATCCGGATGAGGGTACTCTTCAATTCTATTCGCTCTCTCAACCTTCAAGATCAATCGCTACGATTGGCACAGACGCTGCTCGGTTACTGGTCAGAGGAGGAGGATGTCGAAATTGAGGAGGACGAGGACTATCCCACAGTCCCCTGTATCTATTGGGATACCACAGACGGACTCCATCGTGCCGCTTTTGCACTGGCGTTATATCACAACTTTGTCCGGTCATTTGTCTATCCGGGAAGCCTGCCCTCTTCTCTGGAGCAGGTGGCTTGGAGTATCATGAAGCGGACTCAGCGACTCCGAAAAACACTGAAGGACCAAGGATGGTCTCATGGTTCGGTGCATGATATGGACAATGTGGTTAAATTACAGTCAGGTGTGAGGATCCCGGGAGATTGGTTCGAATGCAAGGATCAGGGTGGAGGCACCAAGCCATACCAGGCAAGTAGCTTTGCAGTCGCATCATCAGTAGCTTACCGGTGTCCCTCAGATCCTGGCAAATATCTGCGTCTTCCCATCCATTCCCCTCACCATCAAAGAGATTCTGGCTCAGATCGACAATTCGTTGCATAAGGAGACCATGCCGTCAACCTCGGTTCCGTCTGGACCGAGCGAGTCTACCCCTGACATCTCTGTAAGCATTCCGGGTCTACCTAATGACTCGGTCGTGATCTTCTGTCCGCCGACTGAAGACGACCCCTCCATTGGTGTCTACCGCATGCTGTTCCATCTGGGACAATCCCTTGAGCGACACATCTCCGAGAATGAGATCGTCAAGGCCAAGGCCGTTGTACGTGTACTGAACGGCGCTTTGAGTGATCTTCAGCATGGCACATGATGGAGAAGTCGATGTAGGTATGAATGAGGGCCACATGATGTTGTACCCTTCGATATCCAAGTTGCATGCACATAGTGATGCGGGGATGCGGTGGGTGCCTAGCGCGAGATTCGAAAGACGGGGTCTTTACGCCTCGGGCAGTGTGCCTGAGAGCCGAGCTCAGTGATTCAGCGCGGTGAAGGGTTGAAAGACTGGGCTCACCACAAGAAGAACCCTCACACGGCCCAGAACACGGTCTTAATAACATTAACCTTTCGTCATAAGTCAACCAGAGTCTGTATTGATGCCGTCTGTTCTTTCGGACCTCTTGTAGGGGAATAAGATCGACATAGCAAGCTGTGTTGACGTGGATGGGTCATCGCATGTATTTGGGTCCTTCTCCAGCTGAAGAAGTGCCCGAGAGACCACAAACGATGCGAGATTGGCTGTCATAAAGGTAGGAGTCGGAGAAATGGTGTCGGAAGGAGGGCAGTGTGTAGCCGCAAGGGGTGATGAGGGTGGACATGGAATAGGTGACTGTTGGGTGCGTGCCCCAACGGTGGTGCTCTGGAAAGCGCCGGAAAGAGATGAGGTGTGAGGAGCGGGAACAATAGCTGGCTCTGTAGCTGTAGTCCCCGGAAGAGAAGATTGACGAGGTGTATTCGATCGGAATTTAAGGACGTACCCCTCTGGATTGCCGATCCGGAGGAAGGGATGCTCTTCTTTGGACAATTTTGAGAATGAGCAGGTATTGGTGCCGCAAGACAGACACATCAACCTCCTGGAGCCTTCCTTGACGGTCACGTAGCAGTCCCATCCTCCTTCTCTGCAGCGAACACACTTGTGGGCATCGATCAATAGAAGGGCCTCGGGATCGCTAGATAGCCTCTGTATCAATTTCCTCTTTTGGGCGAGCTTGTCGTACTTTGGAGCTGGAGGCGGGGCAAGGGCTGGACGATGAGTTGAGATGGAACTCGATCGATGTATGTCCAGGAGTGCAAGCGCTGCAGTATCTTCAGCCATCGGAGATACACTGTATCGGTGGCGGAGACGATCTCCGGAAAACAGAGACCGCGCTTCTTCGTCATACCTCCTGCCACATTCGCAGATAACGCCGAGCCACGTGGGGCGTTGGCAGGTCTCCTCGACGTCATCGTTGTTTGTTTTCCGCAGTCGATTGCCACGTGACACATAACGCCGAGCCCACTTCATAAAGCAGCTGCATCCCCAGAGAATGCCACATAATCATAACGCCGACCAATCGTCATGCGCTTCAAATGTCTTGGCGTTGTCAATGGTATATAGTGCCCCTCTCCTCATCTGATTTTCGTCTTTTTCCTCTTCTTCTTCTTCCTCTTCTTCTACATCTACATCTTCTACCTCAATTGCCCCGGTCACCCTCATCATACCACTTCATCTTTATCATCGTCAACGTCATGACCCTCTGCGAGGTAGACCTTGAACCATCTTCGATGTTAGGTCAGGTCGAATCCAAAGGGGGCTCGTGATGGTGCGTATGAGTGACGGTTATCGACGAGGGTTTTCATCAGAGCGACAATAGGTGAGACGGTCCCTCGTCGTTGACATCTTGCTGACTGCCGGTAGGCGTCAGCACAGGTTGCTCATCAATCGTCTATACCTGGTCACGTTGACCATTCCACTGAGTCGATCAATGTTTGGGATGTAGACCCGTAAGTGCTTGACGCCTTTACCCCCCCCCCCCCCCCCCCGCTCCCTCTCCCTTTCCCTTCCCTTCCTATGAAGATCTCCCTCGGGTCCTCCCTCGGGTCTGTTGAGCCGTCGTCTCTTGTTCTTCTTTGATACGCCCTTCCTCCCATCCCTACTCTCCTCCTTCCTCTGCCTTGTCCGCTTACAAGATACAAATACTGACCGATGTTCAGTTCGCAGCGTTGTCAAAATCATGGTGGATCGTCTCGCGCCTCCTTATCCAATCCTCCAGATCATCTCATGGTATGGCCTTCGTCAGGTGAGTCGGTTTGCTGCATGACCACGTCCTTGATTGACATTGTCTAGCTGTCTGGTCGCCGTCGCTTTCCCAAGTTGGTGAGCAGTACAAGCAAGTCTTTATACAAGCAAGTCTTTGGTGAGTGCTTGCTATCATTTGGAACCTTCGACTTCGCCTCTCCTCTCGGAAGCCGTGCCCCTTCCAGACCCCTCCCCCGTACTACGATTACACAAGCTGACGCCAAGAAACTCCAGGCATTTCATCCCTTCCCCTCGCAGGCAACTATCGACTATTGTCGCCTTGAATGCGAAGGCATTCGAGTACTTCTGGGATGCATAAACCCCCTCCGCATCGACACGCGGTAGCTTGTATCCTGCGTGGTGTCTTGTACTCTGTTCCCTCCCGTAGATGTACATAGGCTGTATGGCAGATGCTGGCATACCATCGGACACATTCGAGGTCCCGTACAATGTAACGCCTTCGACAATCAGAGTAGTACATCCTTGCATCGATGTTTGCTGCACAATCGCGTCCGTTGTACAAGACGAAAGCACGTCTTCTTGCCTTGGCTCTCACCGAGTGTCTGTCGTCTTCGACGTTGCCAATCAGCCGATCGATTGAGCCGATCGATTGTCTGAAGGGGCTCATTCTTCGAAGCTAAGAGATCGCGGGATCCTCAGTAGCCAGTGATAGTCGCTTGATCTCGTCAAACTTCTCGGAACCTCCTGCAGCAGACAAGCCTGGCTTTCCGTGCAGAGTCAGAGAGTACACAGCATGGAGGGGATAGCTCATGCCTGGTGTTGGGTGTCCAGGAGTTTCGGAATGTTGCCCTTCATGTGGCAAAATGCCTGTTTGACCGTGGCGTCCACTAAACTAAGGTATAGTCGTTATTTGAGTGTCTCGTTATCGGAAATGGCATCTTGGAAAAAATCACTCAACTCTTTACCTTCAACGTTGTATCTCTTCTTCAAAGACACTTTGATACCATTCCAGTCCGGAGCAAAGAAGGTGTGTGTCTCCTCTCCTAGTGACTGTTGTTGTTACTGATCAGTTCCGGATAGACATCAAAGACCGTTAAGCTATCTACGTCGTCTCGAGCCCGTATTGAACACCTGCTCCTCGCTTACCTCGCTCGGTCATCATTGGGTCAACCCACCTGGCACTCCCCCGCCCTTCGACCATTCTTGGCCCATTCCAATAGTTCATCCCGCGGTATCCCAAGGTCCTTGCTGTCAATTGATACAGTACCATGTCCTCGCCTTCCGAAGCACAGCTGCCGCCCACTTCGCCAGAGGCCCAAGCGCCTGGGCATGCTGCCGCTATCACCACATCTACGGAGGAATCGAAAACACCTCCTGGCTCGCCCTATCCCTGGAATCCCAAGGTCTTGGAGCCTGGGAACCGGCTAGACTCGCCTCTGCTCTCGTCCCACGATCCTGCCATGAACACGGGCGAAACGACTGCCCAGTTGGATCCATTCGCTATCTCCCTCGGCAAGTCAGTCGCAAACGTCAGTGTTCGACCATCCGCCGAGGGCCAGAAGGCAAGTGGTCAACAGAAGCCAAAGATCGCCACCAATACCTCTGAGAAAGCACGACCTCCTTCTACGGCCACAAGATACTGGAACAGTACCGTTGTATCGGAGAATAGAGTGAAGGAAGGGCGATTGAGACGAGCACTTCTCGAGAAGCGCATGGAGGATTCCAAACGACTGAGGGAACAGGGGCTCAAGAAGGCGAAAGCCATGAGCTTCACTTCACACATTGTCAATGGGAGGCTTGAGAAGGAAGTCAAATCCAAGACTACCATTCCCGACAAGGTCAAGCAAGGTGGTCTCAAGCCTGTCTTTGGTTCATTTGAAGGAGCTGCCACAAAGAGCTCCAAGGCAGTCATCTCCCGAAGAGCCCAGGAGGAATCGGTACCGATGAGCATCAAAGACGAGGCAGAGGCTGCCCATGACAGCGACATCAAAGAAGAAGCGGATGCAATCCCTGGAACTGGAGCGAATGCCTCTGCGACTGGCATGGGCATCGAACAAGGTGAGTACCGCATCTATTGCCCTTGCCTACCGTTCGTTACCTCTGTGACTATTGCCTACTATGGTGCTGACGACCTTCGCCCTCAGGAGCGCATGTATCTGAATACGCTCATGACGTATCGGGTGACCTCGTTGTCAAGCTTGAACGAATCGCCGTGTCTACCTTTTCCAAAGGGCAATCGTCGTCAGGGCAGAGTGATGTCAGACCAACCTTCAAGGCCGTCCAGGACGCAGAACTCGCTGGCGGGCAGGGGGATGGGCTCAAGATGTAGGCACATCAAGGAGCTCTTGAACCCTGGGCTAGTTCACAATTATCTCGAAATCGATCTCACTGGACGAAATACACCTGACAGATGACCTATACGAACTATACACGGGAGATGACCTTTTCCGTCCTCGACATTGATCCTTCTTGTCCAATTACGATATTTCTTCGTCACCTAATTGCTCGCTCTGGCGTGCTTCGAGTTTTGCTCCCTATACAGACTGCCCATGATGTGCAATATGTATCCCGTCGCTTCTAGTTCGGTCGCAGAGAAAGCGTGTCCTTGTGCCATCAAGTTCGCGGGGATTTGTCAAGAACAAACCGAGTGCACATACCGGACTGGCTCCACAGTTCTTAGTTTAAGCCATTCTTTTTCGAGAGAGATGTACAGTCATGGTACTATTGACAATCGATTTGTATATCTCGGTCGCATTCGGACATGCTTTCGGGGATAAATCTTATAGACAGCATGTCCCGTACAGCATGTCCACTGACTAATAATGTCCGTTTCTCCTCTACTTCACCATCCCGATCTCATACTCTTCGCTCATCGGTGGCCCATCGGTACGCATCCTCGCTCTGATTCGGACCCTAGACGTATGAATATCAGTCCTGCGGATGTGTTGGAGGACTGTCGATCATGGTCGAGGCGGGAGTTGTATCTTCCATACAGCCCTGGACGCAGACACTGTTTGTCCCTCTTTCTACGGTATTGACAGGGTCAAGTAGTATGTCGAGGTGGAAAGCGGCTCGGTGATTACAGACCTGGAAGTGATTGTGGAAGAATGTGCCTGTGCAAGTATCAGCTCATACTCTGTTGAAGGGCGGCCGATATACACTCACACATCTAGTGCTTGATGCTCAGAGCTCGTCTACCTCTAGGGCTCGACGTTCTTCATCCTTTCATGGTAAAGACTCCTCGCATCATGTCCCCACGCAGACCGATGTATGCTCAAGGCAAAGCTCACGATTCGGATAACTTCACCAATATACACAGTGGTGACCGCAAGTCTTTGAGAAGGCCGGATGATAGACCAGTAACGGTAAAACCGATTCGTAACTTGGATGAGATCTCGACTGGGAAAAGGGACTATTGACAAGGAGAGCGATATGGATCTCGTTGGCTTTGGGTGTTGAGGAGATCGGTGCAGTTGGCCGAGAATGGCTGGAAAGGGAGGAGGATGGTGATCCACATCATTGTGATCCTTTCGGAGCAGAGTCTCTTCCCCTGGACAGAGTCCGCAATTCCATTCCATTTACCTCTCCCACAGAGCTGCATGATGTATTCAGCAGGTTCTTCACGTGGGCATCGGAATGTCTACTCACCGCTTACGCGTGATAAGGAGCGTTGAGACCATTCTCCTCAAAGTCTTCCCTTGCCTACTCTTCATCGTCCTCGCCGATCTCGTCCGATCCGTCTGACAGTTCCGCCATCGCGAGCTTGATCTTCTTTCGGACTTGATGTTCAGCTTTGTACTTCTTGGCAATCGAATTCAGCTCAGAGTTCTTTGCGTTCAGCTCGGAGGTGACGCGTTTGACCTCCTTCAAAGCCGCATCTCTCTCCTTAGGAGCGATAGCGTTAGCTCAACATACCTCCAGAAGTTGGATGCAGTCACTCACTTTACGCAGCGTGTCTAGCGCTTGTTTGTCATTCTCCTCGAGGCATTTCATCAGCTTGCCAAACCAGGTCGCAAGTTCTTGCCGGTCTCCATAACCAAGAGTCATTGTCTGGTCTTTGGTCAAAGAATCGCACATTCCTTGAAAGAGCTTGAGGACTTTTTGCTGGTCGGCCTCCAGCTTTGCCTGCGGCTTGGCCGAAGCATCGAGGGCTGGAGGGTCTCGGCTCCGAGAGGCTGCTCCGGAGGGGCCTGCTGAAGTCATCTGTATCTCGTTTTGATGCTAGGCCTGGTGATCGCGACGCTCTTGAGATGAATGGATGAATGAATGAATGAATGAATAAATGAAGAGATGAACGAAAGAGTGGGATGTTTGTTGAATTGCTAAAATTGATATCAAAATGATGACGTGGTTTTTAAAGCACCGCCTAAAATGTCGATCTCCCCCGAATCTCTTTCCATCTCACTTTCTCACTTTCTCATTATTCTTCAAACTACTCAGCAACGATACATACCAGACTCTACCCATCTAGACCAGAAGCGACACGTCTGAGTTCAGACTTCCTGCTGAACCTCCCTCAACATTCCGCTCACTTACCGGATCATGATTACTCGATCTCGTCAAGCGTCCATCCAGCCAGATGAATCAACGCCCGCAGAGGGTTCTGCCCCCAAGGCGTATTCCATGAGCAAATCAGCTGTAGCGTCAAGGATCTATCGCAGTCGGTTTCCGCCTCCTCCAGAGCCATACAGAGAGCCAGCTGCATGGGCTCAGCCTACTGGTCGGAGGAAGGCCAAAGGAGCTCGCCGACAACGTGCTCCAACCTCGATGACGTCTACTACTTCACTCGCGCCGGAACGTCAACGCACCGACAAGAGACGAGAACAATTGTATCGGAATGGTCAAGGGGGATTCAACGATCAAGATAGGAATTTTAGAGAGGGCTGGGAAGAATTGAATCTCGGAGACTCCCACGCTGTGACTCGTCCACCTCGGGGTCGGAGGGACTATGACCTGTCTCCTGAGCGAGAAAGAGGACGAGAACGCGAGGAAGAAGACGACCAGAATGCTAGCAATTTCCATCACCTTTCTCCGATTGATCTCGATCTCAACCGGCTGTCTGATATGGAGAACGGTATGGAGGGTCCAAATTTTGATTTCCCCCCGGATGACGAACCTGTGAGCCTTTTTCATGGTCGGATTAGACAATTGCTAAAGGATATCGCTAGCTACCACATCATTTGAGGGGACCGGAAAGAGTCGATGCTCCTCAAGGAGCCTTCACTCCTCGGATCCTTCCACCGAGCAACTCGCATGGTCCCTTGCCTTCAACGCCGCAAGAAAAGATCGGTCAAAGTACGCGTGATTCTCGACAAACAAGAGTATGTCCAGCTCCTGTTCCCTGTCCCTGCGCTCCTCAAGGCCTCGCTGATATGTCTTCGTCAGGACTACCCTCTCACACCGACAAGCTCCCAAGCCGTCGCCATAAGGTACATGTACATGTGAGGAACTCGCCGAACCTCCTTCTCATCCTCCACCCCACCTGATCCACCCGGACCCGTGCTACTGGTAACGCGGTTTTGTGGTGATGCTTATCCATACTCGCATTCTGCGCTATCATCGCCATACCTACGGGTTCGACATCTGGAAGGCCCCCGGCACTTACCTGGTTTCCGGTCAGGGAACGACACGGATGACGGAGGATAATTCTCTGCGTCTCTCTCCACTCAACAAGCTGTGCCAGACAGTTCAGGTCATGTACATCGAGATTACTTTTGTCCCTTGACTACCCATTCAACATCAGGACCGGGGACCCTGGAGGGACTTCTCTCATCAACCCTCAATCCTTAATGCACTCGTTCCATCCGGTACTCTTGAACTTCTTTCAACAACCACGCTCGACTTCTGTGGCAACGTCCTGCATCCACATCTCTTTCGCCTCTCGAGAGGTCTCGCTTTGGTGATGGGTTCGGCGGCGTGGTGTCCTCAGACTCATCTCACTCTTGAGCGTTACGACAACCTTGCTCGACATGGGACACCACGTCACTATCATACTCGGCTTGATCTTAAGCCGTCCTTATTCCGCAACGATGATCACGTTCTGCAACAACCCTCCAAGCCACTCTGCAGGCTCAAGAGGACAGTGACCGACCGGCAAGCACGTTGTCGATCGATCTGGGCGATCATAGTCTCCCATCCGCCTTCCTCTGCCGTTCAGAGTCTCGACATTCTCCATTCGATTGGATTTCTTGTCATCAAGCCTTCATCTCTCAGGCCCGTCCACTCATCGGCTCCAAGGCAGGTATGTTTGTCGGGAACTCTACGCTTCCACCTGTGGAACGGACCGGTGGGGTGGGTCAGGACCTCGCGGACAGTCTTTGCGTTATTCCAGAAGCGCACTTGAGTTCCTCATACAGCAGGAGAATCGTTGAATATGCCGGTCATGGACAAGCCTTCAGTCCGGAGAGACCTTCCTTTGTCCATGCCGCATCCATGAGGGCAGGTGAGCAATACATTTTATCCGCTATCAGCCGACTTTGACGACCGCAGCATCTGCACGAGCTCTATGGCAACGGTATCGGATACACTCTTATCTGCTGCCACCCGATAACCGTCCTCATTCACCTGAATGATCAGAGCCGAACGCATGATCTCAAGGGCAAGGCGCTGATATCCTAGTATTGCCAAACTCATATACTACGTTCCCATGCACTGCTCCCTTCCCTCATCGTTCTCCTCGGGCAGCAGACCCAAGCTATCCAGCGGTCCCTCTTCATTGCATCGACTCGCATCCTCACGGTTCGAGAATCGGCCATATTTGTGCCACCATGGTGGCGAGTCGATACCACGCTGCCGCGTCAACGAAAGTGAAACTTGCTAAGATCAGATGAGGACAATCGAGAAACCGGCTCTGCACCAAATGATCACTCGCCCCCTCACGTCTGGGCTGGATAGTGATGACCCTCCCACACCATCTGAGAGAGGCGCAGTTCAACAAAAGCTCGCTCACGACCCTCTTGAAACATGGTGAGTGAGGCATGTGCTCTGGGTATGCAACGACTAACCTACTTTGCCTAGGCTTGCGGACGGGATGGCAGCGATTTTCAATGCGGGGGCCGGGTGTCTCGCCTCGCCACGCGTGTTTCTCCAAGAGATCTGCTTCCAGATGATTCTTCTGCCGGAGGTGACTTTCCGTCGGACAGCAGTAAACGACACTCCCGATCGGACTTCGCATTCCTCCTGCCCGACCCCACACGTCATGCCGCCGCCCTGGAGCTAACCCTGGGGGACTTCAGCTCTGATGAGACTCAAAGCCATATCATTTCTCAAGAACTCAGCGTGTGAGATCGCGCGACCTTGCGCGCAGAGGACTCACTGGAGATGCCGATTACTTCGACCGCTCAAGCATTTTACCTCTTGGACTCTCTTGCAACTATCCGCTCTGCATCGTCATCTGAGTCTTCACCTCCCCTGGTTAGGCCGGACCCAGACACATGTGGAGCGGTTGTCTCTCATCGTTCTCGAGATCCTTCGCAATGGTTTTATCGCTAAGCTCTGTATAACCCCCCCCCCCCCCCCCCCCCCCCCCCCTCCCCCAATGTGAAGACGGAGATCCTTCCCTGCCGCATGGTCGCTCTTCAGCATTGGCGGCGAGGGTAGCAAATGATAATGAGGCTATGGCTTAGGACGGAAGGATGGAAGTGGAATCGGAGCGTCTTTCAAAAGATACCTGAGGTGGAGATCGACATTACAGGCGAGGCCACCATGGCCGTCGTCCTGCTGGAGGATCTGGGAGATGCTTTGCTTGGGGCTTTGGAGTGAGCATTCGGATACTGGATGGTCGGTCTTCATAGTTGAGCTTCTTGTAACTGACAAGCATACAGCGCGGATTGTTTGGAGTACGTCATCAATCGTCAACGTGGAGTATTTTGCGAGCGAGAACGAGCCGCGTCATATCGTGAGCCACGCGGCAGGTGATTCCCGACACATCGATTATGATCTTGCTTCTCACTCCGGACCTGTCAATGCCCGCCCGCTCCAAATCGCGGCCCCGGGAAAGCGGAGCCGCTGCCCTATGATCCCCTCTTGATCAAGGACTTCAGTAGAGAGGACGCGAAAGAGGCCTTGCTGCAGAGATTATGAATAAACTGTGGGTCTTTCCTCATCAATGAGACCACTTCACTACTGTTATCAAGCTCAACGTATTCCGTAGGTTTTACACAGGAGGCTTTGCCGAGTCAGATGGCAAGACTGACTGTGTTTTGACACTCATCAAAGCAAGCCCCAACCCTTGCTTTCCTCCCACCTATGCGGCTCAACGGGTTGACCACGGTACATGCAGCAAAGTCCATATAGACTGCGGTATTCATGCTGGTTAACCTGTCTCCAGAATGGTCACCCTTGGCGCCAGACATCAAACACAGTGTTTCAACGCCATTCTTTGCACTTCAACCTCCTTCACTAGATCGGCCGGATGTAGGAGGCCAAGGTGGTAGGAGTAACACGACGAATGCTTGGACCATGGCTGGCTATGATCTTGCACGAGTCACAGGAGTCGCACGACCCCAAATCTCGGTACCCAGGCGTCAAGGTGCGAATTCACCTGCAGTCTCAAATCTCCCCGAATGGTGACCGACGCACTTCTTGGCTCGGCCTCACCCGAAGGCTCAGCTACTGCTTCAGTCTCATGTGTCAAGCAACTTTGCTCCTGGCCCACTTCGCTTTACCCTGAAACTGTCCTCGAAGGGATCAAAACAACCAACTTCCAAGTTGCTATCATGGATCGCGAATGATCGTCTCGACGCCCTGATCGAGATCTCTGTCAAGGATCCCTTCTCAGGTTCTGACTGGGATGGAAGAATCGAGGGACCGCTTCAACCCGTCGTCCAGCGGCTAATTAGTATGAGAGAGCCACCAGCGACTACAGTGTTGACAATCCTGTGGCATCGACACCAACTGACCTGCCTCCGCCGGCTCGCGCGTAGCCACGCATCAGTCCGGACCGACTACGAATGATTGGTCATGGTGACTTGGGCGACAGTCTCGAAACGTCCAGTATCAGCCGGGCTTTGCTCCGATTTGACAATGACTCACTGGATCTATACCTACTCAAGGAGACAACGGATGGGGATATCCACGACAGGCTGTATCTGACATGGACATGAGTTGTGTCTAGAGCCCATTGACCCTCGATTGATCGGCGCCTGCAGGATGATCCATGCAGACTACACGGTGAGACCTATAATACCGTATGGAGCTGATAGTGCTAGGCGATCGCTCAATGTCAATCTTTTGCTTTTACCGATAGAGAGGAAGTATGCATCGATTTTGCTCGGAGTACAACTGCTCAACGCACTCATTCCGTCCAGAGTGGTCCTTGTTGCTCTTTGCAAGGACGGCAAGGCCTTTCTGTGTGGCCAAGGTGCAAATCCATAACATGGTACCAGTTCGTTGGGGTCTGGCGCGTACGCGTCACGGTAAATGCGTCTGAACGAGGCTCTGAACGAGTCTCGACTCACGCTGTCATGCTCCATCTTCGACCCCTTTTTGTCGCTCTGGGCGTTCCTTCACACATATGGCGATGACGACATGATGCTGATGAAGAGTCTTCTCCCCCCTTTACCAGTGATTGCCTCTCGGAGTATCTCTTCAATTAATAGCCGTTACAGCAAGACTGGCCGTATTAGTAACTCAATGAAGGTCAAATCCGCTCCTGGATCCGCCTCCTCGCTGTGGGTCCGCTGAGCCTTTTGGAAAACCGGAACTTTCTCTCAGCCAGGGCCGTAAGGACTCGACTCTGACCTATACTTTATGGCGAGGGCGGATTGGCCTTTTGACGCAGACCCTCGTTGCCTGCAGGAACCGGCGACTCGCAGCGACGCAGTCAGCTCGCATCCCCTTCATTTGACAAACGGAGGCACTTCTGAGCGCGCACGACACATACCTACATTCAAGCACTCTCGAGGGTCTGACTACGTTGCCCCTTTTCACGACCGTCATCCCAGATCAAGATACCTCGGACTACGTATACTTTGACTGCTCGTGGAGCGACACAGCCAAACTTCGGCAAGACCAATACTCACAACTATATGGACACAGAACCTATTCATCTGGACCATAAACCGTAATCTTTTGCAAAGGGGCAGGGCTATCATTGTGTTTGGAACTCGTTTAACACACATTTAGCCAGACGCCCAGCGGGGTTTTAGGATACTGGTTACAGCTGGGCCGGTCCCGATTTGCCGATTTTGATCGTATCGTTATCGCGCTCTCACGGCATGGGCATTGACTATAGGACTCTATGAACACCGCATGAAATAGTGATGCAGTGGACGAGCACCCCATAGGCCTTCCAATCTTGAAGGGAAAAAGCGCGCATGCATCTCATGCCTTCAGGACAGTTTGGCTTGATAGAAGACAAAACGCCCCGACTTACCCTGAAGCAATCTCTGAGGTTGATGTCTGTCTCGGTGCGGACTATATAAAGACTCCGAGAGCAAGCATGG